AGACGGGACCATCAGGACGGGACAAGCTGAACACCTCTACCCGTGTTACTGGCTTTACTTGATGGTTGATTTTATTTGAACCATCGAATATGGTACCACATATTTGACAAATTAAAAAAATGTGAATATTTATATTCTCACTGTTTGTTTGAGCTAGTTCCATTTTGGGCTTTTTTTTGGGTTGCTTTCACATGCACGAACAACAATTCACAATTTTTATCAAGTTTTTTTTGCTTATCACTATTCAAAATTTCTTATGAATTTGTCCCAAACGAAAAATAGAACAGAGACAAGAAAATGATTACAATTTTTGAAGACAAAAAGGAATCACACACACACATGTATGCTGTGTTAGTTATTGTTATCATATCCATTTAAATAATGCAATTATATTTTTCTTAAATAAACATCAGTTATGGTGTTTATTAATAATTTATAATAACAATATCTGACATTATACTTATAATTAAATTGTAAAAAAAATAAATAACTCATGGAACTGCACATTACAAATTTTAGTTGATCATTGATCAATCAAACTATGGTGCATTCTGAAAAGTGAAAAGTAAGAAATTGATTAAATATTTCGACATATAATTAAAATTTTCTATTAAATTGAAAATTTTATTGTTATGCTATAATTTTCAGATTATAATTACAAACAGTTCACACACGTGGATTTCTAATTATTATTATATTACATTAAATTATTCTTTTTGTTGAATTGGAAAAAAAATTAATACTTCCTTACACTTGCATCCATCCATCTCAGAGCATTCTCATTATTCTTACATTTTATTATCAGACCTCATACAGCCCCCCCAAAAAAAGAAAAAAAAATCTCTCTGTCTCTGTCTCTTGAGCAGTGTTGAGAAGACTAATTATACATCATTCAAAAAAAATTAATAAGTGAAAGAAATTTAAAATAGTTTTCGCTGTCTATAATTATTAATCATTTTTTAAATATCTCATAATGCATGGAGAAGGACTGTCCAGCTGTCTGATCTAACGACGCAAGGGTAATTAAAAATATTAATTATTTACATGACGGCATTTTTCAAATATCAACAATATTTATATTAAGTCTTTTATATTCTTTATAGCAACTTCTCCAATTAGGCATGATTTTATGTCCTAGTTTTAAAAATATTAGTATTTAATAGTATTTACTTATAAATTCGTATAAAATAAAAAAGGACGTGTAGCCATGGTGATTGGTGAACTTAACATAATCGATATAATGAACTTGCCCTAGGTTTTTTCTTTTACATATAAGTTATTTTTAATAATTCACATTAATAATTAATTTAATTAAAAATATTAAATTTGTCGTAAAATTTAACTTTTTTAATATTATTTTTATTACTTATATTAAACTCCATTATATTAATTTATACTCTCGTCTACTATCGTTGTTAAATATGGGCACACATAAAAATTAATCTTCAAGTCTCTTTAATTTCTTTTATTTTTATTAGGTCTTTATAATTTCATATGTTTTTAATTATATCCCTATAATTTTTTTTGCTTTTTAGTTTCACATGTTTTAAATCAAGTCTGTGCTAGCCTCAGTATTAAACTCACGTCGATTCTTACTATAGCAGAAATTTTAGCCGTGGCACAAGGTTTACACCGTTGCTAGTCAAAAAGGCTTTAGGGAAGTCATTCTTTATTTTGACTGTATTGAAACCATTAATTTGGTTTCACAAGGTTTTTATCAGAAGCACCCGTTTCATGACATTGTAAATGATTCTAGGCGATAGCTAATTGGTCGGTCTTGCCTACGTTTTCGGTTTTTCCTGTATGGAAGACCTTCTTTATACTGACAATTTAGCTAAACTTTCTTATAGTTTAGACAATTCTCTCTGTGTTAATTACTCTTCATCTTTTTAAGAAGAGGCTGATAGTGATGAAAGATTGGCATTGAATAAATAAGACTATAAGGACATGTAGATTCATTTTTCTTAAAGGAAAAATATTTAAATCTCTTTAAAACTATTTAATTCCTTATTAAAAAAATTAAAACCATTCTCTAAAAGATGTCAATATATGATAGGACCGGAGGAAGTTATTTAATACAATAAAGCAGATTAATTATGCAACTAATGAGAACGTACATACAACAACCCTAGAAAAAGGAGAGGGCAGTTTTGAGCACTTAACACGCGCCGATGATTGCGCAACCATTCCCGCCCAAAGTATGGTCAAAAGTACAAATGTCTCAGTCCATTTCTGTCCGTTAGATCATTATATCATCTTTGATCGTATTTCCCTTTTAAGGTTAAGTTCGTAATTTCATTACCAAGGATAATGCCCTTCCCTCTCCCTCGTGCGTCAACTTTTTATCTCTCTCTCTCATCATCGCCACGTGGCTTATTGTCATAATATAAAACCGTTGAATTAAAGGAATTTTAATTTGTGCCTGTACAGACGCTTAAAAAAAAATATTATAAAGTTATTCTTCCATCTGCTCTCCTTAATTTATAAACCTTTTTTAGAAGGAATTTGTTGAGGGGAAAATTACGTACAGGTCCTACAGAAGGTAATTTATTACTCCGAGGTCCCACAAAATGTCAAAATCACTGACAGGTCCCAAGGGACCTCAGAGTAATATTTTCGATTTGTAAAATGACATTACTGCCCCTCATATTCCAGATTCACATTTCCTCTGTCATTGCGATTTACAACCTCAGCAGCGACTATTAACAACCCAATGAGAGGGCGTTAACAACCCTAGCAGTATTCGTTAACAACTTACTTTATAGAATCATATAACCTCCACATAAGAGTAAATTATAACCAAATAATATAATACAACAACTTTAACACTAAAATAGGAAGCTTTTTTATATCATTAAGAATTTTAACTAGATCCAATAATTATAGTAATATTTTAATGCGAAGATCCATTTACAACCTCAACAGTAACTATTAACAACCGAATGAGAGGGCATTAACAACCTAAGCAGTATCCGTTAACAACTTACTTTATAGAATCATATAACCTCCATATAAGTGTAAATTATAACCAAATAGTATAATACAACAACTGTAACACTAAAATGGGAAGCTTTTTGATATAATTAAGAATTTTAACTAAACCCAATAGGATTATAGCAACATTTTAATGCGAAGATCCATTTACAACCTCAATGGTGAGTATTAATAACCCAAAGAGAGCTGTTGACAATTTAGGCAGTATCTGTTAACAACTGACTTTATAGGATAATATAACCTCTAACAACTGTATAAGATTAACTTTAAAACTATTTAGTTATAATTTAGTTAGTTATAGTTAGAAATTATATTATCCGATAAAGTTAGTTGTTAACAGACACTGCTAAGGTTGTTAACAGTTCTCCTTAGGTTATTAATACTTACTGTTGAGGTTGTAAATGGATTTTCACATTAAAATGTTGTTATAATCCTATTGGGTTTAGTTAAAATTCTTAATGATATAAAAAAGCTTCCCATTTTAGTGTTAAAGTTGTTGTATTATACTATTTGGTTATAATTTACTCTTATGCGGATGTTATATAATTCTATAAAGTAAGTTGTTAACGGATACTGCTTAAGTTGTTAATGCCCTCTCATTCGGTTGTTAATAGTCGCTGTTAAAGTTGTAAATGGATCTTCGCATTAAAATATTACTATAATCCTATTGGATCTAGTTAAAATTCTTAATGATATAAAAAAGCTTCCCATTTTAGTGTTAAAGTTGTTGTATTATACTATTTGGTTATAATTTACTCTTATGTGGAGGTTATATGATTCTATAAAGTAAGTTGTTAACGGATACTGCTAGGGTTGTTAACGCCCTCTCATTGGGTTGTTAATAGTCACTGCTGAGGTTGTAAATCGCAATGACAGAGGAAATGTGAATCTGGAATATGAGGGGCAGTAATGTCATTTTACAAATCGAAAATATTACTCTGAGATCCCTTGGGACCTGTCAGTGATTTTGACATTTCGTGGGACCTCAGAGTAATAAATTACCTTTTGTGGGACCTGTACGTAATTTTCCCTTTGTTGAGGGTGGGTGGGATGATAAACTCAAATGTTCAGTACCCTATTCATAATATATAAAATTATTTTAAATTTCAAATTAAATTATGTGGTTTATAGTTTTATAGTGAATTTCACTAATAAAAATATTATATTTAGATAAAAATAGAATTCTATAAACTTATACAATCAAGCCTAATTCCCTTTCACGTGACTTTTACATATTTATTAAATAAATATTAAAATAAAATCATCTACACAAAATATTTGTGAGTTTATTTTCCAAATTTAATAAATTACAAATTTATTTATAATTCTAAATAATTCGATATTTCTGGATGAGATTAATTCTTAGAATGTTATTGATAAAAAAAATTATATTAATAAAACAACTCCTATGAGAATATGACAATAATGGTTCAACTTAACTTCATGTCAAATAGATCAATAACATAACATACATTCTCTCTTCTAGCTTTTCTGTTAAAGAAAATGTGTTAGTTTTTTTTTTTTTTTTTCCCAAAATGTGTCTACTGCGTGAGGTATTTACATTTAGTATTTAGTAATATTTTGAACATATTTTCAATAATAAGAAGATCTGTGTGTTTAGTGAAAAATTATAAATTTAAAAAATAAAATAAATTAAAATATTATATTTATAATCAAAATAAATTTATGGAGGAATAGTTTTTAAAGATAAAAATAATTACGTGCCACTATAATAATTGTGATATGGAGTGGGGAACAACTTCTACATGCCAACGCAATAAGGTGCATGTCAAGGCCACTACCCCAACCTAATAAGTACCTACTGCCCTTCCATTTATACTAAGGCCTCCATATCCTACGATAATCATATCAAAATATCAGTGAGCAGGCTCAACCTCCACCGTCTGATCGAGCCCCCATCACTTGTGATTAGCCTCAGTTGTAGGTTAGTATAATCTCATTTAGCTCTTTCAAAGAGTCAACAACAAAACTGAAGATTTTTAAAGACTAGTAAATTTCCAGTCGTGCAGGAGAAAGGCTTGCTCTGCAAAAAGTGCAGACACGTCCCTGTGAATTCTCTCGTTCTTGCTTTCATGGAGCTCTGAAGAAAGCGACCGTAAAGAAGAAGGCGATCGAGGAGAGTAAGAGAGAGAGTCAAGGAACAGAGCACAATGCGGAGATATCTCCTGTTATGGATGATCATCTTCTGCTTGGATTTTACTCTCTGTTTCTCTCGTCCAGGACGAGGTGAGCTTCGGTTTCGTAATGTATGTTCTGGTGGATGCTTGAAAGTTTTAGTTAGAATCTCTGTTCATTGTTTCAATTGAGTTTGTGTGAAACGTGTGTAGTTTTGGATGGAATTTATGCTTGATTTTGATTTGATCGAACGTTGGAATACATGTTCTGCTGTTGCGTGTGGATTAAAACTTCGCGTGGTTGAGTGATGAATGGAATGCCGAGGGAAATTGAGAAGGGAAAATAAGTTGCCGCCTTCGCTCTCTCAATTTTTGTTGTTTTATCTGTTTTGTTAGACTTTGAATTATAATGCCTATTTGATTCGGTCTTTCTTCTGACAATTCGCTGTAGGAAAGGTAAAGGTATGAACGAAGCAACTTTTTCCTTTTTCTTTTTTGGTTTTAAAATTTAAACCATTTAAAAAGCTAAGTTCCGATTGTATATTCGAACAAAACGTAACAATGAAAAATAAACGGTCAACAAACTCATGAACTTAGCTTACCATTTTCTTAAGTTATAATGGTGACTACGGAATTTGGATTGCTGAAAGAATAATTTTCTCTTGGAAATAGAAAACTTTTGTCGGAATTTCTAACCATTTATATCCATGAGATTATTTTTTTCAGTCGAGAAAGCCTTTTTTAACAGCATTCTAAGTGATAACGGGTGTGCTGTTTTGAGTGAGTTCACTGGGGCTCTTGATCGTAATTTGTGGATACTTGCAAACATCTTGCACGGACCGTTGCCCGTAATTTGACATTGCGGCAGAGATGTTATTACCTTTCACTTTTGCAATATATTGACGATCAAAGTAATGCCAATTCTACCTTGAAGGGGCAATTCCTATATGATGGTTGCGATTTTCTTTGTAAATATACTCTTTGGAATATTGACCCCCCCTCCCATCTGTCATCCTTCTCTTCCCGGCCAAAAGAGGGCTCAAAATTCTGACATTTCTAAATCATTGCAGCACCATTTGCTATGCGCATAAGCTGTGGAGCTCAACAGGATTCTCAAACAAAACCGACAAAAACCCGCTGGCGTAAGGACTTCGGATATACTGGAGGAATAGCCGCTAATGGAACACGTCCAAGCTACATCTCCCCTCCGCTTAGAAGCCTCCGCTATTTCCCGTTGTCCGAAGGTCCTCAAAATTGCTACAACATTAATGGTGTGCCAAAGGGGCACTACTCAATCAGGATCTTCTTTGGAATTGTTTTACAACACAGTGTTATGAATGAACCACTTTTTGATATCTCGATTGATGGCACCCAAATTCATTCTTTAAAACCAGGTTGGACCAATGAGGATGATCAAGTATTTTCAGAAGCTCTCGTGTTTCTCACTAATGGTTCTGTTTCTGTCTGTTTTCATAGCACGGGTCATGGAGATCCAGCAATCCTTTCAATTGAGATTCTTGAAATTGATGAAAAAGCTTATTATTTTGGTCCACAATGGGGTCAAGAGATAATGCTTAGAACAGTTAAAAGACTGAGTTGTGGTTATGGACAGTCAAAATTTGACATTGATTACAACGGGGATCCCTGGGGAGGGGACAGATTTTGGAAACACATTCAAACTTTCGGTCAGGGTTCTGATCAACCGAGATCTGTTGAGAATAAGATAAAAAATGCTTCACTGCCACCAAACTTCTATCCAGAATCCCTTTATCAATCAGCACTCGTTAGTACCGATAGTCAGCCTGATTTAACATATACGATGGATGTGGATCCCAACAGAAACTACTCTATTTGGTTACATTTTGCAGAGATTGATAATTCCGTGACAGCTGCAGGGCAAAGAGTGTTTGACGTAATGATTAATGGTCATGTTGTCCTCAGAGATGTAGACATTATAAATATGAGTGGGGATCGTTATTCTGCTCTTGTGCTCAATGCAACCGTTTCTGTTGATGGGAGGACTTTGACAATAACCTTGCGCCCAACAGGAGATAGCCATGCCATAATCAGTGCCATCGAGATATTTGAGATTATTATGACCGAATCGACAACTTTATCAGAGGAAGGTACTTACGATGAATCTGGCTTTTACATTTTCTGAATCAAGAATTGAATAATCCTTAACATTTTATTTGCATCTTAAGATATTACATAGATAGCTATAGTTTTTAGTGCCTGAAATCAAGTTACATTATCAGGCTACAATTCACTTAAAAAATGAATCATATCATGGTATATGGTTTTCTTAAAAAATGAATTATATAATATTACAGAACGGTGTGTGGTATTTATTACTGATTAAGGAAACTTGGTTGAATCTACTGAAAACAACGGCTTTGCAGTCTCCACATGCAATTTGAATGTCTCAGGTATTTGACAAGTGAGCAATAGCATAGTATCGCATTCATAGATAGAGTTTATATTATTCATGCCAAATTGTACAGTTTGCGGCTGTCATTTTTCTCTTAACAATTAATACATCACTAATGTGTATTTTAATGGGTCTATGGTCTATATGGAAAGGACAACAGGAACTGGTGTCTTAAATATACTGGAATGATACTTGATACTTTTGAAGGGGTTTTCATGCTTGTCAGTTCTCTTTTCCTTCTCTGATCTCTATTGTAGTTTACAAACTCCCCACTATCAGAAACGAAGCTTGCTTTATGATATTGAGTCATTTATATATTCTCTGATTCACCTGCTATCAATTGCATTCTGGCAAATATGTCTTCTAGTTAGGGCTTTACAAACATTGAAGGCGGCTTTGGGGCTTCCGTCCAGATTTGGGTGGAATGGTGATCCGTGTGTTCCTCAAGAGCATCCATGGACCGGGGCAGATTGCCTATTAAACAAAAGTATTGGCAAATGGGTCATTGATGGACTGTAATATTCTATTATCCTTATGTTTATGCTTTCATTATATATCTGAATGTATGGTAGCAATGAATGTCACCTCTCTTATTAAATATTTTATTAGATTTTTTTTTCAATTCTATTTTTGTCTCTATTACTAAAATTTCCAACCACATTTTCAGCATCGGAGCTTTCAAAACAAGGAAGTTGGTTAGTTTCTGCATAAAAAGTTTAGAAAACTTCGTGTATGCACTAAGTTCGTAATTGCGTCTCTATAATTTTACAATTTCTTAATCTTGTTTGTATCATTAAACCTCTGCTGGTGTTCAAATATTTCATGACATGGCCAACTGCACGCCATTTTGGCACTTTGGATATGCATGGTTCATGCTCACCAAATCAAGACAATTTAAACTATAGGGACCAAATAACTTTCTTTTTTTGTTTGGTTTTTCAAATTATGGAGACAGAATTACTAATATTTAAACTGTAGGCATCACATTGAAAATTGAGTTAAACTATTGGGATCAATAGACTAATTTGGCCAAATACATGTTTCAGCTCTTCAGGCATGCGTTTGTTCACTCCTCTGGGATTAAAAGAAGTGTAAATTTTGCTAAAGTTCCTGATATCAACTGTTGTTCCCTATACAAGAAAATAATTATCACATTGAGCCTCCCCCTTTCCTTAAATTCTTTGGGGCTCTGCTTCTATGTGAAACCATCATGAAGATGATTGTTCATTTGTCAGTGAAAGTTGAACTTGAATGCTTTATTGAATAATGTAATATCAATGTCTTGGTTATTTACTGTGCTTGCCTATTCATGGACAGTGATCTTAACAATCAAGGTCTGAAGGGTTTCTTGCCGAATGACACATCCAGACTGCAAAACCTAAACACCTTGTGAGTTCGTGATAGTTTCCTCAGCAATTCATGAGGATAGTTGTGATTGTTTATGTAAATGCATAGATGTATCATTTATATTTGATGCATTGATTAGTCTGGGATATTTATACCCTGCTCTTGTAGGCCTTGATCCAATAACAGGTAAAAAATATTGGTTTTTGTGTAATTTGTTTGACCACCTGATTTTCCCCATTGTGAATTGATTATTTCTTGAGAAATAGAGAGCAAGGAGGGTTTTGACATAATTTTCATGTTTGTGACTTGTTACAATCATGCGCTGTAGGAATTTGAGCGGAAACAGCATTCATGGAGCTATTCCCTCCACACTTGGAGCAATTACTAGTTTGGAAGTTCTGTAAGTGCACCTAGTATTTTTGATCCAATGTTCTTTGATTGTCTGTGAACAACTCTCAATACTTAGAGCAGCACTTGTAAACAAACCTGTAGCACTTGTGCTATTAGCTACTAAATGTATAATAAATACTCCTCTGGTCCTAAATATAAGGCCCATTTTATATTTAGGATTGGAGGAGTGATTGACAGCTAGTCTTTATTTTTTACTATCGAAGTACATTTTCTGGCTCTATGGGAAGTAGTCCATAACACTCGGAGATGAGAGGAGTAAGGGAAAGGAACAGGGATGAACCCAATTATATTTTATAAAGGAAAAGAATAACCTATGGGCTAACAAAAATAAAATTAAACAGGTTTTCATGTATAGAATAGTAGAATGCAGGGGGCACTGAGGAAAGAGGAAAGAGAATGAGCTTGGTCACTGACTTCAGCAATTGTTTAGAATTTATTAGCCAAGGTTGTGTAGTAGTAAAGAGCTAAAGAGGACAATGATCTTGATGGTGACTCTGGCTCTGGTTTGTGGGTGGCTAGCTCATAATTAATGTTTTTGTTACAATAGGACAGTCAGTGGTCATTTGTTTGAACCTTTGAGGAAGATCTCCTGAAAAGTGGGTGGAGTTGAACATTGACACCTGAAAAAGATGCTGCGGGTAATATTACGGAGGGGATTTATATTCTCCTCTCCCTTGGCTTTGCTTCCATCTGAAAGAAGAGAAAAGGGAATCAGTTATGTATAAGTGGTTTAGAGACGTCATACAGATGCGATTCACTCTTCTATTACAGTAAAGACCTCTTCCACTTTTCTCTGTCTAGTAAACAAGTAAAACACCTATTAGGGTCGATGATTGGGACTCCTGCAAGGGGCAGCCCGCCACTATTATTTAATGTGGTACTGGTTCTCTTCTTACAAGCCAGTTCTGGGGATGTGTTCCTCACATTTGCTTAGTTATCAGCCTTAGTTATGTATGAATTTACCGGGAGAAAATATAATGCACATTTATTTAGTTGTATTTACCTTATTATCTTTGTCCACATAGAAGTTGGGTTGTGGATTAATGCTAGTCCAATCCCCTCTTAATTTCTATCATGAGAATCAACTCTAAGCTGTAGAGATCAAGGAATCTATAGCATGATCCAAGGAACAAGATATGCCAGCATATCTTGGCTTAAGCTGCCATGCAATCATTTACTGTGCTTATCTTGGATTAATGTAGTCACTCGCAAGATGCAAAAGGTTTAAAAATCTCAAATTTTCAGCTAAGTGATGAGAACTCGAAGTTAGACTTCACTTTTTAAACACTGATGTGTGGGGTGGACACTTTATTCCATTATTAGTTTATCCTGGCTTAAGATGCCACGCAATGTCATTCTGGGTGTGATGCACTAATGCAGGGACCTGTCCTACAACCTCTTCAATGGATCAATTCCAGAAAGCCTTGGGCAGTTGACTTCTTTACAAAGATTGTGAGTTTCTCTAGGCTGTAGCAAACCCGAAAGATGAATGAGCTGATAAGTCTGACTTAAAAGGTCTTTATGCAGGAATCTTAATGGAAACTCCCTGTCTGGAAGAGTCCCTGAAGCACTTGGAGGAAGGCTTTTGCATAGAGCTAGCTTCAAGTATGTATTCAACGATTTAGTGCCTCTTTGACATGTTTTAAGTTTTTGTATTTCAAAAATTAATTTTTCTTACAACGAAGTTCTCAAAAAGTGTTGCAATGAAGTAGCAGTTAGTGTTGTGGCTCAAAAAGAAAAAGTGGTTAGCATTTGGTGATACCAAAAATGCATGCTTTGCTGTCAAATTACTTAAAATTACATATTTAAAATACTTCAGCAATTGATACTTATTGAACTGAAATTTAATTTCATCCATTGTGACTATATAATTAAGTTTTAAACTTATATCTGGACACAATGTACAGATTAAATCACAGTAAATATAAAAAGAATTCCGGCTAAAATACTTATAAAACCTGCATTATAAATTTGATTATAATGAAAAGAGTAAGAAGAAATAGAACGTTTGGATTGAAAACATATCCATATCTTGCCATCTTGGCCAGAAAACCAAAAAGCCAAGACAGGCGCATCTCATAAACATAAGCGATTTTTTCCTTGTCCACAGGCCAAGCGGGCTTTTAATATCTGGTTTAGAAGCTTTAAACTAGACTTCATGGATATGAACACAAGAAAATGAATTATCACATGTCCGTGCTATTTGTCTGAATTATCCTTTCTTTGCTGGGCAATAACTGTTGCTAAAATCTGTGCCATGCATGTGGATTCTACAGTTTCACTGACAACCCAGGTCTGTGTGGTATCCCCGGATTACCCACATGCGGAACTCACCTTTCTGCTGGCGCTAAAGTTGGCATTGGCTTAGGTGTTTGCTTTGCATTTCTATGTCTTGTTACCTGTTCAGTTTGTTGGTGGAAAAGGCGGCAAAATATTCTCCGAGCTAAGCAAATTGCTGGTAACACATTCAACATTTATGCATTATACTATCAAATCATTATACCTATGATGTCTTCATGCAATTGAAATCCCCGTGGCACCTCATTTAGGAAGGTTATCATAGTACTTTAATTCAAATTATGACTTTTGGATCTGATGTAAAATTCGAATTCCAGGTAACGGAAAGAGATTAACTCGAGCACAAAAAAACTTAAGAAACATTAGAAGTTAGTACTATTGTGAGTCTATGAATATATGTTAGCAGTTAAGTGAGATAGAGATACATGTATCATATATGTGTTCAATGTGATACACGTATCACACTGCAATACCTGTATCTTGCCTCTTTTTTTTAAATATATCTGAAACACTTACATAAAACTCAACTTTTTATATTATCTATTCTTCATGTATTAACTTTATTAATATACATATGATTTATATAATACGCATCTGCAGCAGTATTTTAGAATTTTAAAAATTGCCACATCTCATGTATTATATCTTGTCATATTTAATATAAATTCTCGTACATGCAAGTTTATTCTCTTGATTACCTCTTGCAGCAAGGGCAGCTCCATATGCAAAAGCAAGGACCCATTTATCTGATATCCAGTTGACAAAGCATCATCCCCACCCCCACCACCACCATCACCACCACCACCACCATCATGGTAATTCCCGCACTGCAGCTGAGAACGGCCCTATATTGCTATCATGATCTCATCTCATCCTTTTCATACATCGTCAGCTCCAAGTATTACTCTATCTCCTCACTCCCATATTTTTTTCCCCTCCCAAATCCAAGAAACTCCCTCCTATATTGGCTGATCATGTGACATCTAGGTAGAAATCTTGAATACTATGTTCTTTTGATCATAAGGCCAGAGTTTCTTGACTTGAGCTCGCTGAATTCCCTAATATTTTAAACAGGCTGAGAACGCACACACTGCCATTTTGTAAATCAGAAAATTTTGCACATTGCCTTTGTTCACTTGTTTGCTTTTCTTTGTATGGTTTAACTTTGTTAAGGGATTTTTTTTTTTTGGGAAAGACGGTGTTACAAAACGAAGGACTACACTGATAGAAATCACAGTGTTCAGTTTGTAAGAGATGGATTTTCATTATATAGGCTGGGCTGTACTTCAACTAATAATACTAGATTTATTTCCACTATGGATGTCTTGTAACAGTGTAGTTATTCATAATTTGATGTTGAGGGAAGCTATGTAACTAACTAAGGAAACTGAAATTTAATTTCTTAGCTATGGAAAAGAAGCCATTATAATGAAGTTGCATGCATCTTTTTTCCCGATGCCAGAAGGATCCCCTGCATTTAGGAGTACATGTATGGAATGCAGTTAAACAGAGATTTAAAAACTACTTTGATATGGGAGTACTGAAGCATCAGATTGAAATGGGTTTTTCTTGTTTGTTCTACCAGCATGCACGTGGCACTCTTGGCGATTTCTGAGTTTGTTCTCATATATTAGCCTATAAATGATGGATTAACACTCTGCAATTTCAATTGCAATTTTAAATACTCCTGCAGTCCTAAATGTAAAACATTACAAAATGAGTCTTATTTTTAGGATTAAAGAGTGTACCTCTTTAATGCTCCCTTTGGTCCTTATGAAAATGCACCAACTAAAAAGTGTTCTCACTAAAAACCATCAGGTTGAAATTGGCTTTTTTTTTTGGTTCTATCTTCATGCATGTGACACTCTTGGCGGTTTCTGAGTTTGTTCTCACATATATTAGCCTACAAACGATGGATTAACACTCACGTAATTTCAATTACAGTTTTAAATACTCCTCCAATCTTAAATATAAAACATTATAAAATGAGTCTTATGTTTAAGATTGAAAAAAGTATCTCTTTAATGCTCTATTTGGTCCTTATTAAAGTGCACCAACTAAAAAGTGTTCTCACTAAAAACCATTAGGTTTAGGGGTACAAGATGTGCCATTTGTGGGGTTTGATATCCATCTCAAGCTTTGTCCCTGCCGTCAATTTTCTTTCAAAAAAAATTAGAAGGTTCTTTAGGTCCTTTTTATAAAATACTGCTAGTTTCAAAGAGTATTAAATATTCTTTCTATCATTATTTAGAAATGGTTTATAATAGGGACAAAGAAATTATGATTTAAATGCTGAAAATCCTTGAAATGAATGGGTCCATACGTCTTTACGATAAAAAATCCACAATACCACTCTTGTTTTTGTCACCTGTAGGAAGTGATTTTGGTCCTTTTTATTTGTCATTTGTACTTTTTTTAATGCTTCATTTTTAATGATATTCTTACTAATTAAGGGAGACAAATGTAAAGGTAAAGAGAGAGGGAATGAGTGAGTAAAAATATACTAACTGTTTAAGAAGAATAAAAGTAAAAGATTTTACAATGTATTTGATGATTTTCTTGATATATGAGAAACTACTGAAAGTCATAGTTAAAATAGACTGAGTGGTACCATTAGAATTAATTAAGCAGGAAAGCCCAACACTTGCATTTAATGATCCAATTCAATGAGTATTATGATTGTGATTTGCGAGCCCTCCTTCAGTTTCCCATAACTGATAACTTCACGTAGAGCCAGGAAAACAAGCCTACTTCATCAGGCCGGTCCGTTTAAGCTCTAAAATTATGAGAGCCGGATTTGAAATTTTTTCCCTCTAATGGGAAATAGGCCCTTAAGGGCTGGCCCTGGAGGGTCGAGGGCCAGCCCGTTTAAGCCCTTATATATATATTTTAAATTTTTTTAGGTAATTCTAATAGTATTAATTTTTTTACATTGTTAATAATATTTCAAATATTTAGTTATTATTATCATTTTAAAATTAAATTTTACAGAATGATTTGATTTATTTAGTTTTAGATAATAATTTATTCAATTAAATTTTTAAAAAATGGGTTAATTTGGACTTTAATAATGATTTGATTTATACTATATGTGTTGGTATTTTTTAAACTATATATATTTGATAATAGAGTGTTTTTATACTTATCTAACTTGTGATTCTATAATTTGAATTAGAAATTCATGAGTTTCAACAACAATTTTTCTCACATTAAAGTAAAATAGTAGTTAGATTGCCAAATTTAAAAGTAAAATTTACATAAAAAAACTTGATATTTTTGTTACGAAAGAAAATCATATTTATGAAGAAGAGTAATTGATTATAGTGATGATGAAATTTCAAAAGATTAATGATAATACTTATTTATTGCACAATTGCACTATAGATAAAATTTTTGGATGTTGTTATCTTGTTAATGAATGTTTTAGATGTTCTTGAATATTGATGGATATTTATATATGATGATATTTTGTATTTGTGACTTAATTTTATTCATATTATCTTTTATTAACAATTTTATTGGTTTATTTTCATTTTTTTAATAAAAAATATGAGAAAAATAAAAAATAATATTTTTTCTTAAACGGGCCAAAAGCCCGCGGCCCGGCCCTAAGCCCGTTAACTTAATGGTCGAACCTAGCAAATTGGGGTATTTTTAAAATTTCAGCCCTGGAGGGTCGGCCATTTTAAACCCATCAGCCCTAAAGCCCCGGCCCTGCTTCCCACCTCTAACTCCACGTGCCCCATCAACAAAAATTCTCCCATCTTTGTCAAACACGTGTGCAAAAATAATTATCATTCCATATCCCCTTACCAGAACCTACTATCAAGACCAGGGTCCTTTGATACTCAGAGGGTGTTGGGATACCTTGAGAAGTGTTTTTAAAAGTATTTTTTAATAAATTAAAACAAACTCTTTTATATATTTATTTTGTATACTATAAAATTACTTTTAAAATCATGATTTGAATTCCATCTAAATACCCTCTTAATACTTATTGAGGTTCTCGGTTAAATTTTTGGCAGAGAAGATGAAGAGAATACGCTAATTCTTTTGTAAATAAAAAATGTTAATTCAATATCAGTTGTAAAAAAAATTGTTAAAAATAATAAATATTTCGTTTGGTTTATGATATAAAGAGTTGGTTAATTCTTTTCACATATTAAAATAGAAGTTTAGTCACTAATAGGGGTGTTCATCAAACCCGCTATCTTGGTGTGCCTGCTCAAGCCAGGGAAAAAATCACCCAGCCCAGCCCGAGAAAAAGCAGCTTGAAGAAAAATGGACATTTTTGGGCTGGGCATATCACGAGCAAAGCCGAGCTATGGGCAGGATATGCTGCCCTGCCCGTCATATATATATATATATATAAATTTTTTGTCAAGAATATATAATAATAATATATACTATATATAATAATGTATATATTATTCTCTTTCATTTAACTACTTCCATCCTTATTTCATTCAACTGAGATGTTTTGGGGAGGAAGATGATGTTTAAAATCTGATTTAGCAAGAGAAAACGGTACTGTAGTGAAATAATCATAGAAGGACATGTATTAAAGCTTATACAGATAATGAATAGTGGCGCATGTGATTAAATATAATGCCATTATTTGGTGTTATGCGAATTATGGGAGCATATTATTCGAATACGGAATTTAATTTTGTGTATGTGCTGTCATTTTTTCACTTGGAGCTACCTTAGGTGTTGAAATGCCAAAATACCTAATCGGGATTTGTAATGTTGGTGGCGTGATGACATAAGCCTTATAAATTTGAATTGTTGGACTGATTATAATTTTCTCTTTTGATATTTTCAAACACTAAACAACTATCTTAAAGAATTAAAGCATAATTAAATATTTTAGTATGATGGTTACGCTGGTATTTTTTTATGCTGGAAAATTTTTAAATTTAAGGGGGAGGATGTTCATGTTTGTAACAATGTTGTAAAAGTCGGACCAAAAGTCGAGCTAGAAAGAGCAGTGAGTCATGATTCAAACGGTTGGAACAGTTGGATCGTTCAGTTAGACCAGTAAGATAATAATTAAATTAAAAATAGTGTTATATAGTATATACATATATAATATTATAAACTTAATTAGTATAATTTATAGTAAAATTAGCAAAGTCACTATATATGTTTTAACAAAATAAAATCATTGAAAGTAACATCACCTTGACAATCTAACACTGCGTAACCCCTAAGTACTTAATGTAATGCACTAAGACAAATGACTTGATGACTTGTCAAATATTAGAGGATCTTGATTAAGCCAAGCATGAGTCTCTAAAAAGGTATCTGGAGCCTCTGCACTATAACTATCAATGTCTTCTTGAGAAAATGATCCTAAATCAACACCTGCTCCAACTCCAATTCCAAAGCATCCATTCTCAACTTGAGCCTCATTTCCTCTCTCTTTATAATTATCTTTATAAAATAGTTTGTAACAATCATATTATTGAAATTAGTAAAATGTATAATATAAATTTTAAAAAAAAAATTAGAAAACATCTAACCTTCATTGATGAAAACTTTTGGCATTGGTAGTGTTGTATCATCATAAATGATGTTTTCTTCAATCTCATCAGCATGAAATGTTGAAAGTAGAGGAGAATCAACTTCTTCAGTTATCCAATATTTAGTCTTATCAATACTTTCATAATCAATAAGGTCAAAAGTTTTGTTCTTGTTAACAACTCTAAAAAACAAATGACAATAACATAGTATTAGCATTCATTTAATTAATTGTTTGAAAAATATAAATTCAAGTAAAGTGTAAAGCTTGGAAAAATATACCTATTTCTCAAACGAAAATTGTAATGAACAAAGACAAGATCATTCAGCCTTTTATGCTCCAACCTATTCCTTTTCTTAGAGTGTATTCTTTCAAAGACACTCCAATTCCTTTCACAACCTGATGAAGATGCAGTTTGGCTTAACAATTGAATAGCCAACTTTTTCACATTTGGACAACTACCTCCAAAATATTGCTACCATTCATCTATCATATCAAAAATAGAATATCATCAAATGATTAAGTCACAAGCTTAATGCCTAAGAATCAAGAATTATGACTTATCAAACTATCATAAAAATTAAAATATAAAACTTTACCAGGTCGCATTGATTTTGCAGATTCAAGGGCCAAAGGATGATTAAAGCTACCACTTCAATTTTGGTA